GGTCCGATTCAACCCTCCAAACAATCGCGGGGCGTTCAGAGTAAATTATTGGCCCAAATGATCCTGTGGTATGAAGGGTTTACGGATATTATCTAAAGGTCAGTGACTGAATCAGGGTGCCTCCAATCAGAAACCCACAACAGCCAGTGAAAATGAGCTGACTGGGAAAGGTCTCCAACACGTTGTGTATTTGCTGGTGCTATAAAATATGTAAACCATGCTTATTCCCTCTACTAAGCCACGAGTTCATTGGTTCATCCACAATTTATTCTCATTTTTTTGTTGATGTTTCAGTACATTGGGCCGGTGCTTGTGTCAAATATTGCAAGAGTACATTTCCTCTTAATACCAAGTAATATTGTAATAAAAGTAAATGGTAAAAAAAAATGTAATGATTAGTGACTATTGCTGCCGTAACTGAGGGAAAAAATCCCCCCGGGGAAGCGAACACCGAATCTCCCTAGGTTTGGATGAGGCTGTGTCTGTTACGTCGTATCGCCTTGCTAAGGCAATTTAATGTCCATGACTTGTTTTCTAACATAGTGTTCATGTGCTATAATCAGTCTGCACAGGCACACAATGTGTGCTTATACAAATTGCGCTGCCAACTGTAAGACTATGCTGAAGTTACCATTTTTTTTTTTTTTACTTTTTACAACTTAATTCTGAGTAAAACTAGATGTCCTGCATATTTACTAGCTTCCTTATGTTGGCCTGATTATCAGGACATGAAAGCTGCCCAATGGAAACTCTCCCAGCCTGTGCTCCAATGACAGTGGCTGAGCAAAAAACTACATGGGGGAGGTGCTCTGTTCTGTTCTTTCATTGCATCAGCACTACGCTCAGACCACTACATTTAAAACACACTGGTTCATACACAGCTCTGACTGGGGTTTAGTGCAAAAAATACCAGGCATGATTCAGGGCTTTGCTGAAAACATTTGGGGTCAAGCCCAGCAAACTGGCCCTTGGAACCTCCCATGCCTGAAATCGATATTTAATGTTCATTTTCCCCTGTCTCTCCCTGATCTATAGCAAATTGGTAGCTGGGTGCCAGGCAGAACCTGGCTGATACTGGAGTCAAATATATGACTGCCGGACAAGTGAAGTCACAACTCATCACTTTACACTTCTCTGGAAGAGACAGGTCATCCTGTGGTACTGACACAAACATGAATCCTCCTAACCCAAATAAAGCCATCCCAAAGCACATCACCTGGTCTGCAGACAGCTGCTCTGAAACACATACCAAGCTTAGAGCCACTGAGGCCGTTTATTTTCCTCCCCGACAAAAGAGGCCACAAAAAAATATCTGAAGTTTAAAGGAAATGAGGCTGTGCAACAACAAAAAGAAAAGATAAAACAGAATAAAAACACTGAACACTTCACAGACAACAACACAGTTTATTACCCACAGCAGTCAGTTGACTTTGCATTGACACAGTCTGCCGTTTTAAACTTTTCCCTGAGCTGCATGTTTGAGTATTTGCAGATAATTGGCATACAGAGAGAAAAATTTACTGCCTATGGTTTACCCATCCTACGCATCTTCTCGCTTGGCCTAATGCTTTTTGTCCACACCCTGATACTGAAGTACTCAGCCAGGGGATTGGCTGCCCACATGGTGCCTTGCCTGTCAATTGATCAGGGCCTGACTCCGGCTTAGTGCACCATCTCTGGAAACCTCAAATGAGGCGCAGCAAAAATACATTCATCTTCATCTGAGAAGCATGGGATAAAGTATCAGGCAGGTTTTTGTGCAGCAGACATGGTTACAAGGAAAACACCAGGTGTTTTTTTAGATCTATTTGTAGTGCTTCAGGTGCTATCACTATAAAACGATATCTCTGCAGCGTCCATGATGAAGCTGTATTGCAGGCCCTCTTCTGTCACCCATATCTAATTATGTGTTGCTTCTGTGCAGTGTTAGTTGGCTTTTTGTAGCAAGATGTGCCAACAATGTAGACTTTTGCAGTACTATCATTTGCAATCTCTAGCTTATTAATGCATTTTTCATTTTGAAGATATTGCAACTATGAAAGCTTCGTGCACTAAATTTATTTGGCAGGTTGAATCTTTCTTTTCTGCTGCATCTCTCTTTTAAATCACCAGAACTCTTACTGACCGCAGTGAAAACCCAGTCAGCCTTTGAGGCTTTGACCTGTGTTGAAATTGGAAATGTTTGTGTTTGTTTGCTTTGTACCAGTCAATACCAAAGAATAAAACCTCCGGCTCAGATGGAAAATCCTGGATTTATTCTGGCGAGTATGATTTCTTAAACTTTTGCTAATGCTCATTTATCATAATCAATCAAAGGGCAGCTGGACCAAAAGAGCAATTTAGAGCACTGCAGAGTTATGTCATTGCTGAGTCTGTAATAAGTTTGAGGAAGATTACATAAGGCATTATTGCACCTTGGGGTGCAGTTTTTGTCAGAATGTAATGAATCATTCATTACTTGAGATCCATAGCTTACAAATTCGTCCACAGGTTAACACAGAGAATAGACAGTAAAAGATGAAAATGAATTGAGTGTGAACATATGAATACATTTAAAGTAACAGAGACTAAGTAGAACAGATGTGGGGAAGATTCTGAGGTTTATGACTGATTCTTAAGCAATGAAAACAAATTTTCAAGTTTTTCAAACCACTGAACATGTCAGTAACACCCACGTGCACATCACGTTTTTAGCACAACATACATTACTGTAAATGACAATATGAAACTTTCAGAAAAAAAGATGTACTTTGCCATGACAGAAACAATATTCTTGGGTGCTATATAATTGGCAACTGCTTGCTCTGGGCAGACTTTGGATCCCAACACTATTGATTATGAGTAACACCAGATGCCAGAGTTGGATGAGCGATGAGCAGTGAGAGGATGAAAATGATGAGTGTGCCATGAGGGGGTTGTTTGTCTTTTGGCCGGGGAATTGTGTCAAGACTCACAAACTCCAAAATCCATCAGAAACTGGCTGTCCAACATGTTCATTAAAGCACATTAGACATGGACACTTCCTTTCCAAGTTAAATGACCCCATCAATGTTAAGACTTTGTTTCTTGAGCAAAGTCAACAAAACTCTGCAATCAACAGCTAACTGATCTAACACACAAAATTATATAATTCTTCTTGAATCTTCTGAAAACCACTTTTCAATGCTTTGCTTGCTAATAACGGGGCAAGATGTAATGTATTTCTTTAATGCATAGTCATGCATTTAATACATGACACATCATATTTGAGAATACAATAATGTGTTAATCTGATGCAAATGTCTTATTTGTGAGAAAACTAATCAGTATAACTGTAAATTAAGCCTTATAAAGCCATATTTAAAAGCACATGCACAGATTTTTCACTGTCACTGATGCTACGAAGGCAAAACTTATCATTTTCAGCAAATTTTCTAGTCAGGTCTGCTGATACCACACACAGTGAACGGCCCACAGTCCCAGCAGAGACATGCCGCAGCTGCTGTGCTGGTGCCTCTTAGATCTTCAGGACTTGGGCGATGTTTTGCCCCACTTACATGCAGCAGCTTTGTGAATTAAAAAGGCTCCACAATAAACCCTGCTTGTGCTGCTGTGGATAGCAAAGCCTTCCTGTGGGTCTGAATTAGTGTTCTTGGACTTGTACCCAGAGTCCCTGCAGCCAAACAAAGCAGACAGTAGAAATTTCTTTGCTGCCCAACACCAGCAGAGGGGGGTGTGCTCAAGTCAAGAGGAGCACAGGAGTGTGTCAGCTGTGCCGGCTGAAGCCTGGGATGTTTCTTGGCAGCCACACCCTGAAATAAGACCACATCCTGACAAAACCACATAACATGAAATTATATCATAATAATTTGCACACAAATATTGTTTACAGTCTGGTAGATGTGCAACATTTCACATATCTGTTACTTTCAAACACAGTCAGATGATATGATGAGTTGAACAGTAACACAGATATCTGTTTCTACTTGTAAAAAAAGTAGGTAATAATGATAATTAAATATTATATTATCAACTCCAATCACTCATTCTAGTTAATAGAGGTGAGCACTCCTGGCAGTTTCACATTGGAAGTTTTCGCCTGTACTGCAGGCTTTCCCAAGGGTTGTGAATTGAGTTTTTACTTGTACTAGCTGTCACTTAGGAAACAAAACTGCCTCATAGACCCATGTGAACATTATTCCTCCTGTGCAGAGCAGATCACTAATATTTAGAGTTTTTTAAATAAAAAAGAAAACAGGTTAAAATAAACCTTCTGCAGGACTTTATGAACTAGTCTGAGATGAATTATGCACATCCACTGGCTTTTGATATCCATCCCACAGGGCCTTTTCTCTTTTCATTAAAGCACTTTTTTTCAACTATGCAGCCCCCCCCCCCCCCCCTTTCTTTTTAAAGAGAAAATTACTGGTCAAAATCCTTTAGCTCAAATCAGTGCAAAATTAAATAGCTTACTGTGTGTACTTTTTCTGAAGCTGATGGCTGTTCACTGGCTGGGGGCTGTAATGTTTCACATTAGCCTAATTTGGAAAGGATAATGTGTTGAAGCAGCACTTTGATGTTATCACATTGAAAAAGAATGACATCATGGCCTCAAACCAATACAATCACACTGAAAATAATTATATGGCTGTTCCAGACGCTCAAACACTTTTTGTTGGACTTACTGTACAACAAGACCGATCGAGATTGTTGAATGAAGCATAAAGCTTGTAACAGCTGGACTGTATTGTGTTACACACACACACACACACACAAACATTTGGGGATTTATTCTTTGTAAACATGTCGCTATAGTTCTTACCATAACTTCATAGACATGGACATTCATAAACACCTCAATGCACTGTGGCACTGTTGTTTTAATAAATAATAATTAACTACTTTATAATTGATTAAGGACATTAGACTTGAATATATCTGATAAAAGGAGATAGATCTAGTTTCAACTCTATGCCGCCTCTACTGTAGCTATCTCGCATTTACTATTGCCGCGCATACAGTATACGCGCCATGATCCCGCCGTTTGGGGGAAAAAAAGACGGGTTATAATATCGATGAGACACGGAGCTCATCCATATTAGAAGAGTCTTTAATGAACTCAGACCGTAAAGACACTCCTCCTGCTACCGGCTCCCACTGCTCACCTCCCGTACCGATGCGCGGGAGGAAATTCATAGCCCCATCTTTATCAGTATCAGCATCGCCTTGAAGACAAAGAGAGCGCTGCAAATGAAGATATGCTCCAATAGCAGGGGAAGCCAGTCTTAAACTCACTATTCCTGCAGCCGTGCCCGCCTGGAGGCAGACAGGCGCCGGTCCTTGGAGACTCTTCGGGGATGCGCAAAGATGTGAGAGTAAAGAAGGAGAGGCATTGTGATTGGCCATACTCTTTCTGAAAGCATCAGGCACGGCGAGTCATGTTTGCTCCAGCCAGAGCATCAACGAGGTGGCATCAAACTTGAAGGAGACGTGTTCTCAGCCTGCACAGTCTGTGCGTTCACAGCGGCAACCATAAACTTGCATCATTTCCCCAAATAGGCGGACGCGCTTTCCGTGGTGCTGAAACAGACAGACTTGGCAGATCAACTAGTGAAGAAGAGGAAGACACCCTCACTTCGCCGTCTGCTTCTGAGCTTCATGGTATTTGGTAGCTTCAGTCAGGTAAGTCCCAAACTGAGATGTAGTGTACAGTAAAATGAAGATAAGCCTGTTTCAGCCATGGCTCTGAGACGCTTACCTCTAAAGCCACCAGGGTCCACACGATCTATTCTTTGTCTTCATCTGTTGTCCCGAGGTTCTGCATGTGTTATATTTTAAAGTTTGATCTTATAGATTGACTACAGCGACAAAGTTACAATATCAAATACTAGCTTACATGCTACATGCTATTGAAAAGTATTGACCCACAGGCTGCCTGTTGATTTCACTCTTCATCTCTCCCTCTGCCTTTATTACTGTGATTATTTTACTTTAAAAACATTTCCTTTGGTGTCCACTCAGCGTTCCCCCCTAAATTCTGTTTTCCATTCCAGCTGTGGCTTTCAAACATTTTTGCACCAAAGTTTGACAACTATTGCAGTGAAAGTCTTTTCCATGTTGTATTAATTCCTGTTCTGAGGTTGCAGGGCACGCAATACATGTGTGTTTATAGATTTTAAATTCAAACATAGTTCATCAGCTGAGAAATGATGAGACCTTGGGGTAATTGCAAAATTAAGCATAGCCTACTTTATACTGACTATTGTTGTAGTTCTGTGCTGTTAAATATGACCACACATGTCAAAATATGGCAAGGACGGATTTCTTTGCATTCAGTTGCTGAAGCGACGATGAGGGATTTATCTCCTGGTTTCAGTATACCATGCATGTAAAGTACATAGTTGTAGCATGGTTTATGACATTTCTTTTAACATAGTAAAGAGTGATGTGTGTGGGGAACATCATGTACAGTAAAGACTTTGTATTGGGGCAGTGAATGAGGGAGCTTTGTGTTGGACTTTGCTTGCTGCTGGTACCTGATAACTTCATGCAGCACACATCCGTATGGTACAGCTTCTCTTTTTGCTTTGTTTGTGGTTCCTGGGATTCCAAAATCAATTTATGTTTATTGTCTTTAAACAAAAACTATGTAATCTATGATGAGGGTCAGTGATCCCTTCCACAGTTTTTACCGGATTTTGTGTTTTTTTCTTGGCTGGCAACGGCTGGACTACACGCAGAAAATAGAAAAGATCAGGACAGAGCTTGTGTGTGCTGTTGTTTGTGTGTCACATAGGGTTGCTGTGTTCACTAGACTATCAAAATAGCCTTTGCATATAAACTGGCGTCAGGCATGTATTTTAGGTTATGTCACTTTTGTAGAGCAAATGATTTTGATCCATCATCTTGAACACAACCTTAAGCTTTGTATGACTTTTAAAATCTAGATGCTTCCAGTGTTGTCCAACAAAATCCAAATAAAAGCTGCCAGAGCCAAATCAAACCAAAGAAATGCGGTTAACTGATTTTCGAATAAGTTTGGAGTATTTCTATGCGCCACTAACACAACATTTCCTGATTGTATTTCTTTGATTTTTGGCATTGACTATGTTGGGGGTCAGTTAAAAAAAGATCTTAAACAGTGCTGTCAGTGCAGTAGTACAGTGGCTTACTTGCTTTAATGAATTACCCTGTCGAGCTGAGAGGGAGCGTGGGTGTCATCAAAGCAGAACAAGGCCCCTTTGAGGTGGGAAACTTGTGGCTGAAAGACTTAAGTTGCGATTAATTACAAAAGGCCTGACTTAATTTCAAAGGCTTTTGTATTGAAATACATTTTGTATTTCAGTCATTAAGTCGGCTAGCTCCAAACTCTTTGGGATCGGAGACACTTCGCACAGAGCTTACAAGTTGGTGGCTCACACTCATCCAGTCATCTATACTTTATATTAAAACATTACAAAACTATAGTCAGAAGATCTAATAATATTGAATGCAGCTTTCTTAGGTTAAGATAGTTTGTAGTTTGCTTTTATGTGTAAATGTAACAATTGTAACGGACAGGTGAGATATTCTGCCAGTGTCCGTTGCATTATTTAGCCAGACTTTACAATTTACCCACTACACAGGTAAGTTTCTACTTGAAAAGCTTGTTGAGCTATTTGACCTGTGTGCCAGATTTTGATATTCACTCCTCATGCAAAGACAAACCCTCCACAAGATCATAAACAGAGCTGTAATTGCTAGTAAGGTTTCTCAGCGGCTTTAATCAATTACTGCACCGTCCTCCATCCAGAGAGAAGGGGAGCGCAGGTGTCATCAAAGCAGAATGAGGCGCCTTTGAGGTGGGAAATGCAAGACTCAATGACTTCACTCAGCTGGGTCACTGGACACACAGCAGAGCTTTGACGCGTACAAATTGTGCTTGAAGATGCTGTGTTCATCCTGGGAGGCTCAGCGGCTGGCAGGGGACCAGTAGAGCAGGGACATTGCACTCCAGATGGCCCAGAGAGGCCAGAGGAAGAGAGCTGTCCAAGCCCAGCTGGGAGTAAGGGAAGCTGGACTGCTGGTGGTGTGTGTGTGTACATGATTGTGCGATGGTGACGGGGTGAGAGAAACATTAACAGACAGAGAGAAAGAGGTATGTATATGTGTATGAGGGTGTGTGCACGTTGATGGAGCGATTGGGAGAGAAAGGGTGGGCGAGAAGGAGAGAATGAGAGCGAATGAAACAGGCGCCTCTGTGCGTGTGCATGCATGGAAGTAGTCACATGAAAAGTGTGGGAGGGAGAAGAAATAAAAGAGAAGATGAAGGAGCTTGTACGCCTGTGCGCGCGTGCTTGTGTGCGATAGTGTATTGCAGTATGTGTGTGTGTGTGCGTGCACAAGGAGTGACGGGGAAGCAGAAAGGGTTGGAGACAGAAAATGAAAGAGAGAAAGAAACAGGCGCATGTGTGTGTCTGTGTGTAGGAGGGAGAGAAAATGAAACTGGAAGAAGCAGGCAGCATGTGTGTGTCTATGTGTTTGTGTGTGATTGCAGAGAAAGCATTTCTGTGAGAGGAAAGGCGGGAGGGACCGAAAAGAGACAAAGAGGAAGAAAAAGGGAACACGTGTGTGTCCCTGAATGACGGGTGAGAGATAAATGAAAAACAACTAGTATAGTGGGATGCATGTTTTTGTGTGTGTTTTTGTGGGATGAGGGGTGGTCCTAATACTGACAGCAGTATTCATTGATAGTATTAAGCAGAAAATCAAAGCTGCGTGGAAAATTACACATAGAAAACAAGTAAAATGGAGTGTTACATCAAACAGAAATAGTTTTTCAGCGTTTCATTCAGTCAGGCAGCTCTGACCTCTGACTGTGTGATCTACTTTATTCATAAAGCTTGTACAGGAGCCATGTGACGTACAGTGGTCGTGGTGTATGTGCTTTACTGCGCATGGCTTCAGGCTCATGACCCCCTGCTGTGAGCTCAGACTTTAATTGAGAATGCGTGTTGCATGTGGGACACCTTTTTTTTTTTCTCTACTGCATGTTACATCTTGGTGGTGTCGCAGTCCTTCTAAAGTCAAGCCATCTAAGAGCGAGCGTAGGGCACACGACAACAAACACACGGCGGCTTTACAGAGATAACTTTGCCTCACTGTTTCCATTTGGGAAGCTGCTAGAGAGAAGGCGGAGAGAATGCGTGCTCTCTTCATTCTGCCACATCTGCTCTGTGATGGAATGGAGCATGATCTGCACTTTGATCACAATGAATTATTCCTATCCCTGGCTATAAATATGGTCTGTCTTCAGCACCCAATCTCTCTCTCTCTACTTAAACTAGGAATCTGTGCTCGCCTCAGAGTAGCGTGTAGCGAGTGTGTCACTGCGGGCATGCTGCAGCTCTGGTTTTCTTCCTCACAGTATGAAGGAACAAGAAGCCCTACCTCGTTGAAAATCTTTTCTGGAGAAGACTGTGATGCGTCTGCTCAGGAAAATATATGGATGGCAATACAGCAACAGTACTGTTTTGTGCAAAACATTGTATATAAGAAATCACAAAATAGCTTAGTCATTTAAAAGGATGAGGCTGGTGTTACTCTTTACTTTTTTCGCTTTTTAAAAAAAAAAAGGATCCTACTCTTTAAAAAACATCTGTCTTTGTAGGGATCCTTTCCATAAAATTGTCAGACACTTGTAATAACAATCTGAGCCTGTCAGTTTCAAAAACAAGCACTTTAGTGGACGTACTTTGACGGGGCGCAATTGGATTAGGATTAGGACAAGGATTATGTTGCAGCCCTGTTTTGCTGCTGCCGACTGCAGCGTGCTCGCTCAATGCTGGACAAATTTCAAAAAATGGTGTCCTAATTAGTCACATAGACACAAAAGCATGGGTAAATAAGGTCCTGGTAGACCAAGGTGACCCGTTAATGCATTGTTTAATTATTATTGCTTTAGCTTTCAGGCAAAGCTGTCATGATTAGGCAGCGTAGAGCAAGAGAGATCAGACTTGAAACAGCTGAAAAAATAAGCATAACTGGAAGTCAAGCTGAACTAGCAGCTCTTGTCAGTATAACTCAGCAGTAGCAGTCACTGACTAAACTCAAGTGAATCTATGTTTGATAATATAATTAATGAACAATGAAGTCTTACAAACTGTTCAGTAGGCCTACTAATTAACAATTAAAAATGTTAAGACAGTTCGGGCAGCGGTCACTCCTTTTGTTATGTTGAAACAACCATATATTTTTTTACAGTGTAATGTAATGATGACGGTGGTGGTGCTGAATGCGCACAGCTGAACCAATGACACAAATGCATGGCTGTCATTTTAAGGGATGGATTACAGATTTATAGAAGGATAAGTAAATACAAAACTCTGAAAGGCAAACCTTAATTAGTTGAGTGCACACATAGACACATTGCACTGGATTCAATGTAACTAGCAAGATTAAACGTCAGTTCTAATAGTTAGATTCCATTGGGTGGATTATGAAGTGCAAGCTTCAAGTCCTCTGTAGGTTCCTCACTACTAGATTTAGGGCGTACTCGCACTAGGCCCGGTTGCCTTGTATGGTGCCCGAGCACAATTCTCCCCACTCCCTACTCACTCGCTGGCCTGTGCTCACATTGCGCCTAACGATCCGAGCCCGTTTACATCATCACTCAGTCAGTGTTTTCCATACATTGATTTGTT